AAGCATGCACATAAAGACTGAGACACTCACAGCGATCTGACCTCCCTCCTCTGTCAAGTACGCCTTCACATCTTGCAGCGCTACCAGAGCACACTGCCTGCAGCAGAGAAAGCAAACATAGCAGCAGCCAACTATAAAAACCAGATTTACTGAAATCCACCATCATCAAAGTTCACATTCTAGTGTCAGTGTCAGAAATCTGAAAATGTTACAGTAATACATTGTAGATTTCATGAAAAAAAGATTCTTTGTAGGCCCCCCCCACCCAAGTTTTGGATTACAGCTTTCTTCTGTGCATCAAATACAATGGTAAACTGAAAACCCCAACAATTACAAGACATGAAAAACACACATTTTTAAAATCACAAAAAAATGTTTCCCATCTGTCGGCAGTAGGGTTTAGTCACTGACCCAGTTCAATTATCATGTGCAAGAGTTATGAGGTACACAGTGGTAGATTTCTCCTCCAATAAAATGCAGCCACATATAGAGTTTAATTTGTTCTGCTTGAAGGCTGACAAAAAAAAAAAAAAAAAATCAGCTGCAATGTGTCTTTCCTCAAACAATGCAGTTTGGAGGTGGATTTTATCTATTTGGAGGGAGGAATGTTGGAAGGCACAAAACAAAACAGCATTGATTACCATAAGTGATTTTAAAAATACATTTGTTGGTGTTCTTGTTGAGAGTTAAATCAGAATGTTTGTCATTTAGCCAGAGCTTCTAGTCTTGTCACCTTAAGAGTTGAAGCTAAGGGACTGCTGGTGGTAGCTTTAAACACTATACTGCAATATATATATATATATATATATAATACATTTCAAAGTAAATATGAAAATAATAATACAAATAATAATAATAATTAAATTATTAATATATAATATATAATATAAAAAAAAATAGGAAAATAACATGAAATTATAATGCTAATTACAATTAGCATGAATCAGGAGGATAACATTTTAATGAAGTATTTAAACAGCACATATTGATAAGGTTCACTGGTTAAGGCTAAATTATCAGCAGAAAAAAGTTTTATATCTAAATCCTCACAGCAAGAAGGTCCTGTGTTGAAATCCAAAACATTAAACTGGCCTTTCCTCAGGGTTCTCCAACTTCCTCCCACAGTCCAAAGACATGCATCTTAGGTTACTCTGTGATTGTAGATTGATTTTAGGTTCGGATGTGAGCCTGAACGGTTGTCTTTCCGTATTAGCAAAGTGACAGACTGGTATCCAGTACAGAATTGGATAAGCAGTTAAGAAACTGATGGATGAATGGCAAAAAAAAAAAAAGGCACCAAAAACAGAAATTCCAGAGAGGTTTCTTTGTTTGATTAAAAAACAGGCTATTCCCTGGGAATAGCAGAGGGTTGACAGAAAAAATTACTCACATTTCCTTAATTGAACAGTGCAAAGGTTTTGAGGTGCTTTGGTTGCTACAATGGGAGACTTTCTATTGGCAGACAGGCATCTTAAACAATAAAAGCAATTCTTCTGATTTCTACTTGATTGGAGTGAGCTTCTTTTTTTACAGCAGGACAATGACCCAGAGCTCCAAACTATGGAAAAGCTATTCCTAAAAGAAGCAGTGAGCTGGCAATCTGCGTGTAATAGAGTGGCCAGAACAGTCAAAGGATCTTAACTCTTTTGAGCTGTTGTGGGAACAGGTTGATTGTGCAGTGCAAACATTTATCTAACTCGTGGGAGGAAATTCAGGAAGCATGGGGTGAAATTTCTCCAGATTATTTAACAGCTTGAATACAAAAGGTGTGCAAACCTGTGATTACTGCCAATGGATAACTCTTTATACAAAAGGAGAAGTCTGAAGGACAAAATTATTAATTCAAGTACAAATCAGTATTCTAAAACTTTATTTCTAAAGTTGCCAATACACCACACAGCTCAGCTCCAGTTTTTAGTTAACTCATAAGAAAAAGGTAGATTTCACGTGGAACTATTCCTTTAAACTGGTCTTGCTGATACTTTATAATAACAAACACAAAAACTCAGGCTGGATATCCATGCAGGTCCACAGAGGGCTTGTGTCAGCTTCAGAGTGACAGCGGCAGCTTGTTTAATATCTAGGTCAAAGTCAGCACTAGGATGCTGTCAAGAGCCCGTCACATTTTCATGATAGCCATGCATAACACAGCCCATTTCAATCACTACTACCAGATTAGACCAGGAGGAAAAGAGGCCTTTTGTTTTGTTCTTTGTTAATCTTTCTGTTGAAACACTGATTTACAGTCACTAATCACAACCATTTATAGGGCACACTTTGCTGCTTGTGTGTATGTGTATATCAGTTTAGGCTGACTGTGGCTGAATACTGACTGCCGGCCAAAAAAAACAGCTTAGTCACTGATGCAGCAGGGAAATCTGCAAAATATGAAACCGACTAAGGTTGAATGCAAGAAATGTGACACAGCCAGTGAGGATATGACAGTTTTCTTAGTGCTAGATAAAATGCAATGTACATTGTAAAAACGTATTGTGGGCACACGTGTAAAAGTGAACCTTACTTCCTTATTTTCATGGCTTCTTCATTGTCGTGGCGGAAGAAATCATAGGACTTATAAGCTCTGACAGCCTCTCTGCGGTATACGCCCAAGTTAAACACTGAAAAATGAACAAAGGACATTATAAATCTGCCCTGGCTGTGCTGTCGCCTCTCATTTCGGATACACTTGGATATACTTTTGTGAACAACTAAAACCACAAGAATTTAAGTGGCTAAATTTAGCTTCTCTTTGTGGGATCATTTTAGAATAGTTACATTTAAATATTTATTATGCACACACAATGTCAGTGGGGGGAGGTTTAAAAATTCAGCTTTTGCATTTAAACATTTTGCTTTCATTCTAATGTCACTGCTACTCGTTTTTGTGACATATATAATGCATGCCTAAGTGCTGGAGAAGAGATAACACTGATGCTGTTTTTCATGATCTTTAGAGTTGCTTTCCCACATTAACTAATTAACTATCCTGGTTTAACTTCTACAAAGAAGTAAAAAGAAATACAAAGAAGGATTGGAAGCATATGAAAGTTCAATAAAACACACTATGAAATTTTTTAAATTTGCAGATGGCATTAACTGAAACATAATGAGAAAGAAATGTTATGTTCTACCTTTGGTTGGGACTCCTATCCAATTGAGGTAACGTGTGAGTTTCTTGGAGATGTAGGTCTTTCCTCTAGCGGGCAATCCGATCATCACGATCACCGTTGGAGAGTTTGTCATGTAAGAAGCCCATGCTGTGCAGGAAAGAGATGCAAAGAACTGAATGTCAAAGTTAAATGCAAATCATATCTGACTCATAACCAGCATTACAATAAAGAAAAACATGTTTTAAACAGGCATGCCAGTGCTGCACACACTCCTGAACAGCCAGTCTTATATAACTAGGTCATGTGTATACACAAAAAATAAAAAGTCTCTTTGGGCACAAATATCTATGGAGTGGGTTCAGAGGTGTCATCCGAAGAAATTAGAAGGAGAAACATCCTGGGAGAGAGAAGTAATTTTCTTAAGAATAGCAGAAACCACTGAAGGTTTCAAAGTATTTTTATCACTGGTCATGATTTATATTCTTTTTCCTTTTTTTGCCAATCCAGAGAAATTCATTCCCTGGTAGGTTGGAGACTAAATGAAGCAGCTTTCCTCTCACTGAGGTGATTGTGATTTGGTCAGAGCAACAAGACAAGGTTTTATATTACAAGTGCACCTGCACACTATAAGCAGCAATGCATGAATTAAAACCTACTAAAATCTAATTGGCGTTTACTTACAGCATTTTTTCTCGTTGACTCTGGGGTCTGTTTTCTTGGCTTCTGTGGAGTTTGCAGAGCCATTGTCTCTCTGAGTGCTTGACATATTGGAATCTTCTTTAAGCGCAATTCAGATCAGCTCTCTCTCTCCCTCAGAGGGACATAGTCCAAGTTGGTCTGCAACATGCACGCGAAGGATTAGCCTCAGACAGAAGAGAACCAGAGCTTTGTATGCAAGGTTTTCCTATCGATGTCTTATGGCTTAATGTATCCCCGGCAACATCGACTGCAGAGCAAGCAGCAGGGGAGCTGTGAATGAAGACGAGAAGTACTGCCACATCATCTGTGCACAGGAAAAAATACTTGGCTTAAAAGCACTATATTTACAAATGAGCGAATCATGCGGTGGTTTGCTCTCTCACTCGCTGGGGTGACCGAGTTCACTCTAACATAATTTATACCACAATCCACACAAGACGAACATACAAGAGTCAGTGTTTTACCTGGTAAGGAGGTAAATACGAAGAGACCTGCTTTCGGGACCGCCTCTGAAAGACGCAGTCATGCACCGCAGGACCGGGGATCTCGTGATCTACCGGACACAGAGTTTGCGTCCGCCGGTTCGGTTGGAGGAGCCAGTCTGGTCGGCCTGTCCTTGGTGCTGAAGTGCCTCCTCAGCCGGCTGGTATCGTTCCAAGCTGGAGGTGCGTGTCGACGTTCCTCTACCGTAACGTCAGCCTACGCCAAAGCACACACCCCCTAACCACAAGGGCTCTGCAGAGGATCAGGCGCAAGAGCAAGAAAAGAAAAAGCGCTACACAAAGACTGAAGGGTGAAAATCCTTTTATTTTTTCACCATAAAGCGAAGATTTATTTATTTTTTTACAATAAGCACAACTAGCTTCTTTGCATAGTTATTTTATTCAGCATTACATACCTCATTATAAAATGCAGATAGTGGTCAAAAGACAATGGTTTAACATAACAATTGCTAAAACCCCCAAATAAATAAAACCAACCCAGAATCACAGTGTTCCCTTAAATAATACAAAAGTTTGAAATAAAAGTTCAGTCCTATGGAAAAAAAAAAATTACACATCTGGCCATCTATTTTGATTTACTGGCACGCTTACTTTTACTATATTTAAAAGAAATAACAGTGAATAAGACTAAGCAACCTTTACACATTATCTGATCATTCACATGCCCACATATATGTACAAGAAACATGTGTAAATCTGTCACAGGAGCCTGGAAAGAGCTCAGACCTCAGCTTGCTGCTATTTTTAACCATTTAGAGAACATTCAGAAGTCAGAGGTGAGGCACTGAGTTTGTGGCAACGCTGATGGAAAATGTGATGCCAGGTCAGCTGAGCAGCCAGCGCTGTGGCGTGTGAGAGACTTTCAGAGCATCTCAGGCTTGTGAAGGACTGATGAAGCTCAGTTGGAAGGCACCGATAACAGAGTTTAGTGTCAGTAGCTTTGCACACTTTTCGGCGATGAGAAGATGTCTGCAGTCTCCAGTGTCTGACTGTTAGTGGTTTGTAGTTTTCACCTTTAAGGCTTGATTTTCCACAGCTGGAAATTAAGCAGAGACGAAACAAAACAATTAAAAAGAAAAGGTTAATCATCTTACTGTGCAAAATAATCCATTTAAAAACAGATGTGAAGAGAAAGCGTTTAAAAGACATTTAGAATCACAGTCTCCAATTGTCTCAATCATGGACTGTGGAACCAGTAGCCAGCACATGCAAAATAAGGAGTTAAGACTTGTGAGATTTAAAGTGGAGCCAAACCATGTAGTATTTTAAAAGCAATCAATAAATCTGAATGAAAGAGACGCCAGTGTCATCCTGCCAGGACTGGAGTGATGTGTTCCCTCAAATGAGTGCTTGTATTTTGCACCAGCTCATTTAACCATGTATACAAGGAGTTGTAAAAATTGTGGCAGGAAATGACGGTGTGTAGGATGTTTAGTGTTGTTATTGGTGGGCACAGGCCTGACCTCAGCAATGATTATAATCTATAGCTAGCAAAACTCAAGTAGACTCTTTACATGCTGGTTAAACTTATTAAACTATCAGTTCAATACTTTGGGAAACTCCATATTTACCCCAGCCCGCCCTTGCTGCTGCCTCATTGGTGGATACATATACTCTTTGTAGATGACTGGCTGTTTAAATTTTTGTAACATTCTTTTTCTACGTAATCACAAAATTAAGTGGAATGGTGGATAAGTATACTGGACTCATGCTAACACATATGTCATTTAAAGTGCTGTATGCAGTATACAAATCTTCATGACCCTGATGAAGGCCACAGACTGAAACGAGTTGGTCAAGTTGGTGACTTTACTACAAGTGTTGCTAGAGCTTCGGCCTCTTTAGACTCTTATTGTGCCAGAAACCTTTTATTCTGTTTTCAAAGAAGCCCTATTTACTCTGTATGTATCATGTTTCTGCATTAAGAATAGAGCCAGACACGTGAGGATAATAGCTTTGTTTAGCTTGGAATTGCATTGCATAAAGACAATGTCACACTTTTCTACAGTTGTAAAGAGAACACATTAACATAAGGTTTCTCAATTGCGTAATTCACATATAAACAGGAATTTACAGCAGTTTTTGCACATCATATGCTCTAGCTACATACTAATCAAATAAGTATTATGTGTAGTAAAGATTTGTTAATACTGCTGTCTTCAAGCAACCACATAAATATATATTTCTCACGTGGTTAAGCTACTCATGGGAGTTTGTCACTGTGCAGCTTTAGTTCATGTTTTTCCTCTTATCATTCACATGCTAAATATTTTGAAATCTCAAAATGCACATTTCCAGCTTGTCTGCCAGATGGCTTCAACCAAAGCAAGGTTTCCAGGTCAACTCTGTAGGCTACTAACAGCTCCAACAGCTAGAGGGCAACATGCAGCTGTACTAGAACTAAATGTACAGCCTGTACTTGAGGCTTGAGTACTTGAGTAGTTGAGGCTTATATGAGCAACAACAACCAGGTTGTACTGATAAAGTTGTATTTTTTTTCTTGAGAGATAAAAACAAAACAAAACATGGAGCCCAGAGTGATCAAGGATGTGCATCTTAAATCATCTATTTTTCTTGTCTTTTTAGGCAAATTTCAACATTTTTCATTATAACTTTACTCACTCTGATGTTGAAGCCAAGCAGGTCACTGACTACGGCAGACACAGCAGAGAGAATGACAACTTTGGTGATGTTATAGATCAGAGGGTTCACTGTGAGACCCAGCAGTCTGAAAGGAGTATCGAGCTCCTGGAAGATGTAAGGAGGAAGAAAATGTTATCTAAGATTTATGACATGGGTACCCATACCCTGAGGCTAAAAATGATCAAAGCCAGAATTTATTAAGGATGAAAAACCACTGACAAAGGGGACTCCACTTGGCCTTCATGAGAAATATAACAATTACATATTGCAATACAATCAAATTTATAGCATATCCTTCAACATAAAGTTATTAGGGCCGTCCCAAGGAGATCAGTAGTGAGGAAGAAAGAGTGATTAAGCTGATGGATGTTAGAGAGTACCAACAGAGACATGACAGGGACTGAGGAAAGAAAAAAGAAAAAGAAAGAAAAATCCCCAGCTCACTGCAAAGTTATAATATTATAATTGCATTCTCTACACGGACTGCATAACAACCTTGACTGGGAACTGCATTTAGTTTCAGTGAAAATTTGGGCTTACCTTCATTAGTTTTGTAGCTAGCTTCAAAACATTATTCACAATACTGAGTTCTTCTTTCTTATTGGGCTTTTTCTCCATCCTGAGATACAAATTGATCTGGAAACAAAAACAGTTTTACACCGTGTTAATGTTACAGTGAAGGCCAAATAATGTATTTAAACCTACATTAAATCAATGGACTAATCAGCCAGAGAAATAGCCTGGAATCTTGTGTCTTTTCCAGCCTGGGGGGGAGCTTTACCTGCTCAGTGAGCAGCACAGAAGAGTTACTATACTTGGAGTTGGTCTCTGAACCCAGCGTGGCGAGCCTTAACAGAAAGAGGACGAGAGAGGCGCACCACACCATGAGCTCCCAGTTCATTAGAGACTCTAGGAATGTCTTGTGGCTTTGCAGAAGCTGAAAAAAGAAAGCAACACTGCTTACATTTATTGACCCCGGCTTTGTTGTGAAAATTGGATTTCTTTGCACCTAACAGAGCATATAAACTACTTTCCATCTTAGCTTCATGGCTTATCTTCAGTAGGGTAATACGATTAAATGGTTGTATGTTTTGAGGCCATCTCCTTGCTATTTGATCTCCGTGCTAGAATCGCAGTATTTGCACAAAATTATCAAATCAATGTTCTCCCATACGACTGACCTGAGCACAAATGATGAATGAAATGGAAAGTGCTAAAAGAAAAATAGTGGAGACAATGACGTCAACGGAGCGCTGCGGTCCTCGTCTCTGCGAAGCACAAACAAATCAATGACGCACAGTTAAAAAGACAAGTCTACACCGAGCAAAATGTTGAAATAAATTGAGATTAGGAGTGTTTTGGCAGGAAAATACAAACCCGGAGAAAAGATCGAAGCGACAACCACATCTTTATATTCTGAACTTTCTTCAGCCTGAAATGGGGAATCTCAGATTTCTTGGCTTTGCGAGCTGAAGTTAGGTGGCTAAAGAACTTGGCAAATAAAAGTCTCTGTTGGGCAGACATAAAATAACACTGTGATGCACTGCAGGAGAGCTAAAACTGATCACAGGATGCAGCACTGAAAACATCTTCTAGTAAAAACACAACTTATATATATAAATGATGACAAGGTAGCAGAGAGACAGAATGGCTCAAACAATTTGTCCAGTCAACAGTAAAAAAACACAAACAAACAACAAAAAACCTAAAAAACTTGCACATTTTGAGAACCCAGGACAGTACATTTTTGTGATGTGCATTTCCTGAATCACCATTCACCTGTTTGTATGTTCTCTCAGCCACGCACATCATGAAGAAGAACAGCCCCGTGAGGCAGATTCTTTGCACTGTCGTGATGAAGAAAAAGGCATGAGCTTGTGTATTTAACGGCCCCACTGCTATTTCTATCAGCTCTGACAGAGGCAGGGAGCTGAGGCCCGGCATGTCCAGACGCTGAGCCAAGCGGAAGGCAAAGGGCAGCAGTGCCAGAGTGACAGTGATGAGCCCGCCAAGAACGAGATAGCCCATTCCCTGCTCTACTAACTTCACCTGGTAATAACAAACACAAGAAGGGAGGCGTTTAAGACCAGAGACATGTGCTGGAATATTTTTATGCAATGAAAGCTACAGTCTTTCTTGGACTCTCTTGACAACATATTTTACACATTTACCTCAGACTTTGAATATTTCTTCCATTATCTGTGTTTGTCAGTTTGCCACATTTGACAGCTAGATGTTCAAAAGAGTCAGAATAACAAATTCTGGCACAGTAATGAGGTAAAATTTGGCTCTTAATTTTTGCCTGGCACTTTATTTTTTGCTCTATCCGTAGAATTTGAAATTATTTCAAGATCTGACCGTAGCTGTAATTATTAGGAAATTGTTTGCTTACAAATGTGCATTATGCTGGACTGGCTGTTAATAATATAAAGAGGAAGGTGTGTACCCGTGTGAGGATGATCCCACTGATCTCCAGTACTGACATTTCTGCTTTCTTACACTCGCCCTGCTCCCAAATGATGGCACTGACACGATCCTTGGATGGGTGACACGCCTGCAGCCAAGACAGCTGGTTCTGAAACGAAACACCACAGACAACATCCTGTTCACAATTCATGCATGTTTAGTGTGTAATCTAATCGGCAACAGGCCTTTGAAGTTGAAGCTTAACCACATGTCAAGACTTTTGAGACTGCTCATAATTTTATAAAACAACATATTTAGTCACAACGTCCAGAATAATGTGTAGTATTTAAGATGTGTTTGCATTTACTCCAGTGATTGCTTGTTGTAGGCTTTCATCCTCGTCATCGCTGGTCAGAGTGTCGTTTTGTGGGAGGCTCATGCTGGCGTTGCACCTCCCACTATCGTCACTGTCACTGCTCCCTGTGGAGGGAGGGCCTTGGAGAAGCTCCTCCCACATTGTGTCATCGGTGTCAGAGGCAGGACGAGAGCCCACGCTCGGCCTGAGACGCTCCACCTCACGGGGCTTCACCTTGATAAAGGCTTCACTCCCGTCCTGAGCAAATTAAACCAGAGGCAGTGTTCTGTATGCGACATTGAAGTTACTTCACATCAAATCTCTAAAACAAAACTAGACAAATTACTATTAAATAAACTGCTAATTCAGTGCCATCTCTGAAGCAAAGCCTAGAATTGTAATTTGCATCTTCCACATCAGGCTTTATTAATGTATGTGCTTCTTAAATTCCCCAGAAGCTTGCTGTACATTAAAAATCCATTAAGCAACTTTGATGGTATACAGTGAAGTTTACCTGAGGCCTCGGTGTAATTACGGGGTCAGACTTTTGGTTTCTTTTCCGAATAGACGGTAGTGATGCAGGAGCTGTAGTGGTGTTTCTTTCACTGTGAAATGGTATTTGTGTTACTTCCAGCGGTTGTATTCCTTCCTCTTCCTCACTGGAGAGCTCATCAGAATCCCTAAATCCTGACCCTCCTTTGTTCTGTAAAGGGTTAGTTGCCGATCCAGCCAACAGAAAAAAAAGAAAAAAAAAAAAAAAAATTATAGACTTATATAACAATATGAATGATATATATATATATATGTATATATATATATATATATATAATATCTATATATTATATATATATATAATATATATTATATTTAATATATATATATATATATAATATTAATTGTTTTAAAGCATGCACATGAATTTTACAAACACTGACTACTATATATATATGCATGTATTATTTATATGAATAAATTCTTACAACAGCACAAAGCCAGAGGAGGTAGACTTACACCTAAAAGCATTAACAGGATGGTAAATCTATATCAAGCAAGCAGACCATATTTACAGTTCAGTCATTTAGACACAGCAATTAAAAATACTTTTTAAGGGAAATTTCAAACTACTTTGGCACTTATACATCCATCCCTCCATCCATAACCTATCCACCACATCTGACTGACATTTTTTGACTCTAAAGATCGAGTAGAGATGAGAAACTGTACCATTCTCTCCTCTTTCCTGTATAAATGCTGGTTTTCTTCAAACTGCCAGCAGCCCAGCAGCTCCGCCTCCCCACTGTTGTTCTTTTCTTCAGATTTCTTCAACCCTCTGTTCTTTCTTGGCCTAAAGGAGAGAAAGTCAAAAGACAAGTCAAAGGTAAATGATGGTAATTACCATCTTTTGACATTTTTATTATTTACATTAGTATATTAAATAATGACATTATAATTAGTTTATATTTAACATGCACAACAAAAGGGATTTTCATGTGAGATCTGTTTTCATGTACAGCATAACCTGGGATGTGAGAGCCACATCACATATTGTACATGAAATACGAAGAAAAGCAGTTAATACAGTAACTCTCTCAAAAGCAAATGAAAGAAAATGTAGCAAATGATCAGTGTCATGAGAAGTCATACTGAATATTACAGTTTTTTATATGGAGATGTTGTTCATAATAGTTATGTAACCTTAAATAAGTTAACAATGATAAGGCAAATCTCACGTGACAACCTCTGAGGGACTTGACTTCATGGTACAGGTGCATGTTTAGGAGTAGTGTTTCGGGTCTATCTGCATGTTTAACATGGAACTTTATGCATGAGCCACAAGGAGTGTGAGTGTGTTTCTGTGTTAGTCTAACCACTAAATGCGTGCAGCGCCTAACAATGAGGAAACTACCTCCTTCTGCGCGTGGGGCTGGTGGTATTGCTGGCAGCTGGACTGCCTGAGGGCCACCGGCTGGACTCAGTCGACACAATCTGGCAGTGCACGGTACCCAGCAGCAGCATCAGACACATGGGTCCAAACACCTCGCTGGCAGTCGCCCTAGGGACCTCGAAGTACAGCAGCACCGCTGCCACTGAGGGGAGCAAAACATTTTGCAACAGCAAACAAAACAGTCTCTTAGGGGAGACATTATAACAGAATTCATGCTTACTAATGAGGTCTCTTCTGTGCTCCTCAGGTGTGATGGGTAACAAGTTTAGTGTTGCATATAAATGAATGTAAGCTGTGTTGAATAGCTGGCGAATTGAGCCTGCAGCAATAGATCTAACTTCATGAACCACAAACAGAGCATATCGAGACCTGTGTACTTTCTTCAATTAAATATACGTAATCAAACAACCTAAACAAAACCAACAAAATCAAACTTATTTGGAAAGGAGTGTGCATGTGTCTGGGTGCTTGCAGGCAACAATTTGAAGACACAGTCACAGTAAAGTACTCCTGATGTTTCCACTAATTGCTTTCAGGGAGTTAAGGTGGACTGGAATTAATCAGTGAGCGGTTGTGAGAGAGGGCATGCTGCTTTTTTGGCGGTGGTTAGTGCATTTCTGCAGCCCATATTTTGAACTGTTGGCCAAGGGGGCGACAATCCAAATGACACAACTGAAGAGTTTTTATGTGTCATGTGGCAGCTGCTGTGTGACGGTAAGGCTCCACGCCATTTAAACCAGAGCTTTCTTGTGTTTCTATTATCAGTATTAGAAGCAGAATCGGAATACTTGAATCCCACAGTTGGTCACGGTTGTTCCAAGACAGTGAGATCAGTAACTAACTAAACTAAATCAAATAATATATTAAAAAGTTATAAAATCTAACAAAATAGTCTATTCTTGCATAGATCTGCAACTAACACATATTTCAGTAATTGACATAAAGCAATTTGCCCTTGGGAAATTATTAACATTTTTTCTGATTCTGTGTATTTTGATTAAAGAAATAAACACAAAGACGCATTCAGCCATTCGGTTTGGTTAGCTCTTCCAGCACACGAATGCTGACTTATGCTGTTAAAGAAGAGTTTTCTATTCTTCACTGAAACTCTTCTCTAAGCAGATACAAAGTTATTTATCCAGTAAATTAAAAACTGTTCTGATGCATGGAACCTGGTTTAGGTTGAATGTCTACACTGATGTTTGAGTTGAGGTCAGTCTTGTTTTAAGGCTATAGTTGCAAGATGAGTGGTGGTGAGCTAACCTTGCATAATGTAGAGCATGAGGATACATGAGGAGATGGACATGGAGGTCACCTGGATCCACCACTGGAAGAAGAACGGGAACAGCAGCACTCTGACCAGACCCTTTCGAGTCAGCGCTGTCCATGGACTCTCTGGTTTGGCTTTGCTAAATGTAGATCCTGATGGGATGAAAGGGGTGGTCTGTTAAAACTACATTTACTAAGTGATGGAGCAAGGTTAAAGTAAAGAAGAGATTAAACAGAGCCAGATAAAGCACTGCACATACATATATACATTGCATAGTTTATCTGCTTGACAAGAAACCTGGAGAAATGTCTCAAATACATTTCAAAACAATTAATGCTCCTTATTCATACTCACCTCTTACTAAATCAACATCAATGAGGTCTGGCTTGATGTGCCCAGTCTTCCTTGGTTTGCTGTCCAAACCCTATATAAATAGTAAGGGCTTCTTACTCAACTTAGAGGTCAAATGCACTAAAAATACACAAACATTTATTCCATTAAAGAGAAAAATGAGTATCTTACATTTAGATCGGCTTTCTCAAGAGATTTCTCCCAGATTTGTTGATCATATGCCCCGATCTATAACAAAATATAATTCTTCTAATTATCTTAATTCAAAGAAAACACAAGAGGTGATAATAACAACTAAATGATCAAACAAAACCATGTCCAGTTAAATCTATGGAAAGCTTGTGTGATATAACCACACTTTTGTTTTTATTTAAATCAATTTTTGTAAGGAGTAAGGGAACAAAGAGGTAAAGGAAATGATTTAATAAATTGTGAGATATAAGGATGTAAATCAGAGCATATGGATTCAAGATTGAATGACTATGAATTAAATTACTACAATTGTAATAACAGCCACTTCAAAATAAATCAGATTAATAGTAACAGTAATTAGGTTTAGCAGAGTTTTTAATGTACTAAGTAGTAAACAAGTAAGTAAAGAACCACAAACAAGGCTCATTACATATCTTACGTTATATTACTAGACTTTACTAGTAAAGTATATAGTATAGGTTTGTAACAAGTGATGAGTTTCTAAGACTTTCCTAAATGACACTAACTGTACTGGATGTGTTGCGCTTACCTTTTCTTGGTACCAGGCTATTGTTGCCATTGTTATTAGACAGGGGAACCGGTCAACTCGGATCAGGTCATTTCACGGTAAAGAGAGGAGGAGTGTGGAGAAATCCAGATGTGTTCCCTAATCAGATATGGTGCACGGACACAATGCTGAAGCTTGGAAAAAGCAGAACTTAAACGAGAGGCCCGCAAGGGAAAGCAGAGATAAAATGAACGCGTTTTGGTGTGAAACAAGCACCTGTGTATACACAGGTGCGCTAAGGGTTAGCTAAAAGTAGCCAAAGTAATTATCTGAAATTATTTTTTACCTGGAATTAAACAGCACGGTAGCTTTGGCACAAACTGGAAGAAACCCTTTCTGATCATTACAAACTGCTCGTTAACACTTTCTTGTCATCAGTTTCGGGTCGCTGCACGCTGCAGCGTCTTTTTGTGCAACTGAGCTAACTACTAGCGCCGATTACAGCTTACTTTACCTCTTCCGGTAAGTTTCGACGCGGATAATTTCTGAAAATACTACATTTTAACAGCTCTTCTGCTTTCACACATATGTCTACTTGTTTATTTAAGCTATTTTACACTTTTTAGCCCATTCTTCCGCTTCCCTTTTCCTGGGTTTGTTGTTTTTCTTAAGTTGGATCCTAATATTCCCTGAGGTTTGTCTATCAGGTGGCCATTTCAGGTTATTCAAAAGAGAAACCCCTTTCAAAGACGTATGCAATTGTCAACATTAAGTAATAAGCATGAACTAAAATTATAGACAAAAACTATGCTACATATATGTCAGTATACGTACTTCAGCGATGAAACGCATACATCTTCAGCGGGCAAGTGCTACCTGAAAGGCTAATCCGTGGGAACAGAATACCCTATATCTCCATAACATTTCGGCCACTGACAGCGCAGCTGCTGTAGGAACGGTAGTATCAATCACGCTCACGTTTAAGCTTGTCCCTTATATAATACCATAGCCGTACTTAAATGCAAAAAGGGTCCCTCTGAATTATTTTTAAATATTTATTTAACTTCTTAATCATCTAAGCTCTACAAGAAACCTTTTTAAAAAAAATTTCCAAGACATGTTGCAAATCTCAGTATTCCTGGTTTTAGTGAGTAGACTCATTAAAAATTCCTGAAAGAAATTTTCTGTGTAAAAATGCTTCTAGCTCAACTTTTAATTTCTTTTGTATCAATCCAATGATGAAGATAAGGAGGCGAGAAGGAAGAGGGGATTTCTGGCATATATGACTAAAGAGAATGTTCTCTCTCAATTAGCACAAACTATATTACAGGTACATATGATTGTAATTAACATTTAATTAGAATTCAGATGAAAATATTAAGAATACATACAGCTGTACAACACTACTCTCTAGTTCTACTGTTTAAATAATAGCTAAATAAGAGTATCCTGAAAATGATAAGGTCTGATAGAACAACTCTGCTGTCTAGCAGGTGAATCAGCAGGCTGTTAAGATAGAGACAGAGTCATTTGTCATTCGAATCTTGAGTGTCCGCTGATGGCTGCTCATGCTCAGCTGTGCACACAATCTTTGCTTTGACCTTTTTGTTTGAGGAAATGATAAAGTAGGGGCTGAGAGAGGCATAACATGAAGAGAAAAACACCCTCATATCAGCCACCACCGGTGACACTTTTGCCACCGTCAGCATGTAGATCCAGATCACATTATCAATCCCAAAGAAGACCACATAGAGAACTACCAGGGTTAGCACTGTTTTGGCTGCTCTGGTCTCTGCCCCTCCACCCTGAGAGCGACGAATCCCTTTTACTTGGTGGCTGTGGCGGTGGAGCAGCAGCAGGATGTAACAGCTGGAGCCCACCATCAGGGCAACAAATGTAAAATCCCTCCCAGAGACAGCCACCCCGTTAATCACATAGGACAAGTTGTCTCTGAAGTCTACATGGCAGAAGCCCAGGTTTAGGGTAAAGGCAGGGACAGTGTCATTTCGTGGAGCCATGGAGAATAATGGAGCTGCTATGCATATGGCCATATTGAAGAGCCACAGCCCTGCAAAGGTGGGAATAACCAGGGATGGAAGTGAAGGCTTCAGCCTGGACAAGTAAGGCCCAGTAGGGGTGATGGTCACTGCCTGAAACACACTTAGCATGCAGGTGATGCAGACTGACAAAGCCCGGCCAATGCGGTAAGCATAGATCACCACCTTACAGCCCGGATCATTCAATAGGGCCTTCAGCCCGAACACCGTCATTGTCTGGGGGACACAGCGGGTCAGCAGCAGCAACAGGTTGGTAAAGGCCAGGTGGCACAGGATCATGTCCACAGGAAGGAGCTTCGATCCAGTGCAAACGATATGTGTGTACGCCAAAAGTACCACAGTGTTTCCTAAAATGCCCATACCTGTTTGCAAGAGGAAGGAGACACCTTTGATGGTCACACACAGATCCATGCCACCAAGACCTGCAGCTGTCGTGATTAACAAAGCAGAAAACCAAAACTGTGATAAATACTATACACATAACCTTAATCTTTCAAGATGGCTACACGAGTTTTGATAAAACCAGATAACACCAATTGTGTCACCTGTAGTGAAAATGATGCTCACCTGAAGTTGAAGAGAAAAAGTAAAGTATTTAGTGCTTTAAATGTTGGAGAGCCTTTGTAAGTTCAATATATAATCCTAGATGCCCCTAAGGATCGGCCAAGATATTAGTGCAACAAACTAAATATGACTCATGGTCTCAGAGGACAAGACCCACAAAGGAGACGGCGTCCCCATGGATGTTGATACACTTTTTTGGCTTGCTGTATTGACCACTACATGGCTTATAACAAATCCATGATTAACATGTTCTCAGTGTAATGGGGTAAAAATATCCTTTTTAAAAATACTGCCCAAAAACATAATAATAGTAGTGATGGCAGAATTTTGTATGCGGATTATTTTCTAGCTCAATCTGAGTTTTAACTTACGATCATATTAATCAGAGTTAGAATACTTTATTAATCCCTTAGGAAATTATAAGGTTACTTTGAAATAATGTTAAGAATGCCGAAGAGTCATTTCAACGGGCACAACTTTGGAACGTGGAAATTTGCTTTCTTTCAAAGATTCAAGAGAAGGTCAAGAGATTTTAGTTGTTGGTTGCAGTCTGGGAAAATCAGTTCCTTATGTAAATTCTTAAGTGTTATTTTCCTGCACTTTGAAATATCATAAAGCTATTTCCCTGCAGAGTTTTAAGAAATACGGTTGATTGACCACGTGGAGACAGCCGTGAGTGGTTACTGTTTACGCAAAAGCAGCCTGATGATGCTTTGAATGAGCCATCAAGAGGCCTTTACACGCACAGCTGGTGCTTCAGCGTGCGCTCCTTTTCTCCATCATGTCCTGGGAGCATGTTAAAGACACAGAGAAGCAAAACAATTAGCCATATAACAATGCATGTCTGCACTAATTGGGGGCATAGGGACAACTAAACATTATTCATTTAGCACCGACAACGGAAGTTTGTTATAAGTATCCCCGTTTTCTAACCAGCTAACCTGTAAATGGCAAATGTGTCTTTATAAGGACTCTAACCTGGTCATCTGCACAAGTTTATTTTTGTGCTAAAACGGTGTTGTTTGAGAAGCCTGCTTTTCCCTGGGGGTGGAGGTGGGATCGGGGGGGAGCCTTGGAATAGATAATCACTAGATGTGTTATTTGCTTCCCTGTGTGTTTTTGTAACATGTTTAAATGTTCTGAGAGCTAATTAAAATGGCAAGTTCAAGCATGTCCTTCTCAGGGGATTGCAACAGTATGCTTCATTGCGAGTTAAAGATTTCTTTTTTTCTCTTGACAGGAAATATGTTCTCGCTGATGTAATCTGTTTTTAGCATTGCTCCTATTCTCCTATTATAATTTTGTTGTTTGTCAGAACAACAGGTGAATATGAGTGTGTGTGTCAAAAAACTATTCTTGTTATATAATATTATATTCCCTTGAAGCTGCAGGCAGCAGAGATTTATTATTGTCCATGCTGTACATACATATTCTATATGTGTAAAAAAATGCTTTCAGCTCAAGTGCACAGTTGTGTAGTGGCTTCTAGAAAAGCCCACACAATTGGAACAATCTGGACGGCATGCAAATATCATGCATACCCTGTAATGATGAAATTTATGTTACTAGGACACAAACAGACCCTTGCAGAGCCTGTTTGAAACTGATAAAATTGTTTCACACGGTTTATGTTTCACATTGCGGTTTATGTTAATGCATTTTTAAAAAATCAGGTCCATTCTTAGATGTTCAGCTCAGTTTAGTTAAGAGAAATATCACTTTACACTCTTTTGTTCCTTTGTGTGTGCTGATGAGGGCAAAATCTCTGAACTGGCAGAGGGGTTATTCGTTGTATTTCTCACTGCACCTTTTAATCTTTCCAATAGAAAGAAAAATGCACTTTCAGAAGATTTTGACTTAACAGCCTCACAAGGAGATGGGGACAGCTGACCTCCCAGCATTTTACATTTCATTTGTCTTCATCATCTAAAACTCATTCACTCTAAATTCTTCGGTAGCTCACATTTGATTTTTTTTTCTATACATAAACATAGCTGATTTTCATGTAACGTTCAATCAAAAACATAACATGACTGGCTTTTAATTTAATTCCTATTTTCATAAAAGCTGGACTAACACAGAGAGGCACAGAACATCCGCACTAAATGATACATATCCAGACTCATTAAAAACGTCAACATATAAATATAGAGGGAAACATACTAGACTAGATCAAAATCCTGGAAAACAAGAAATATGAAAAAATTAAACTGTAATTAACAAATCTAAATATTTTGTACATTTGCATGTTCAGTTTTACCCAGTTGGTTTTCAATGACAGAGAAAAAGTATTTCAATTAACAAAACAGAACAAGAATTTTCAAGGAGAAATTGTATCAAACCACATTAGTGCCAACACATACATTATATTCATAGTGTTCAGAATAAATATTTAATCAGGGTTTCCTGAATGTGGCCACAATATTTCAAGTACTCTATAATTTTCAAAGTAGGACGTGTCTTGTGTTACAGGAATTAAGCTTAATGTTCTCTATCAGTTCCCCGATGTTAAATCATATTGTCCTTACAGCATCCTCACAGTTTAGGTTAAATTCTATTAAGAGTTTTTATTGCTGTGGATGAATTACACAATCATAAATCATAAATCGGATCACGCTCCAAATGAAAATTGCAGGCGATCTACCATGAAGAGTGAGTCGAATGTCCTTTGTTTCCTCTTCCTCCACTGGAGGACACTGTGGTGTTGATATGCGTCTAACCAACACAGGGAGGGTTTCTGATTTGCAGTGGCTTTTATAAAAAGATTGAAGATATGAAAAATGCAAAAGTATTGTGGAGGGTTTTACACAGAGATCTGCATATAGGTTCAGTAATTAGAAAAATGATTTAATTCTCTCTACTCAGTGAAACAGTGACATGGAAGAATGATTGTAATCTCTTTTTTTTTTACAACAAACATGGGACTGATAGATATTGTGCTTTCATTAATGTCATATCTCTCATCCACTGGTAAGCTCTTTGTACGAGGACACACACAGCTTCCACTGTCTTATCCTGTCTGAAACCCAATACAGGTACAGAAGCAGTCATCTGAATTGATCTCAAGTAATTGGAGGCTGAGGGAAGAGAAGTCAATGGACCATGCAAAACAGATCTTACCTGTCTGCCAGTATAAGAACACAAACACCCTGACTACATCAGGAGAGAAGGATCACAGCGTGACAGGCACAAGGTCCACTTTAGACCTCTTTAGCTTCGACGGTTCTCAGGTAGGAGTTTAACCTTCGAAACGATTTTTTCCTGAAACCATTTAAATGCTAGGCACCATTTGACATTTAGAAGTGCATGACAAATAACATATTGATAATGTGATTTTATTGATTTTCAACTTCCTGTAGGAATGGCATCAGAAGTGTTTGTCCGTGGGATGCTCTTTCTCTTCCTGACCATTGTGGGAATTCCAGGTAATGCCACTGTAATTGTGGCATTCCTCCTCTTGCTGTACCAGGAGAAGCGACTTTTAGCAGCTGATGCTATTCTCCTGCACCTGGCCTGTGTCAACCTGTTGGTGGTGGTTGTACGTGCTTTGACGGAGACCCTGGCCTCCTTCCGTCTGGCCGACATCTTTGGAGACACAGGCTGTAAATCAGTGATCTTTATCTATAGAGCAACACGTGGCCTCTCAATCTGGCTCACTTTCCTGCTGAGTACCTATCAGTGCTTGAGCATTGCCCCTCCAGGATCAAGCTGGGCTTCTGTTCGTGCCTTGTTAGGTCACTATTTGGCCTTTGTGTTCCTCTTCCTTTGGGTTCTCAATGCCTGCATGACGACAGCAGCCATACTGTTTTCTTTCAGTACCAAGAATGAAACTAGCCCGATAGACAATGGCATTAATGTGCAATTCTGCTATTTGAACTTTCCTTCAAAGCTGTCCAGAGATGCCAACGGGGCAATCCAGGTTGGCAGGGATGTTGTGCCCATGGCCCTCATGACACTCGCAAGTCTGATTATCCTGGTATTCCTTTACAAGCACAGCCAGCAGGTGAAGGGACTCCGCAGTAGTGGTGGTGGTGGTGCTGGAAATAGTGGAGCTGAACAACGAGCTGCCAAAGCTGTGGTGGCACTTGTGACCTTGTATGTTGTCTTCTATGGGGCAGATAATGGGCTTTGGGTGTACACCCTCACTGTGAAGAAAACCATGAGTTCCTCACTGATCTCTGACCTGCGTTTATTCTTTGGCTCGCTATATGCAGCACTAAGCCCTCTGGTTATAATTGCATCAAACAGGAAGGTGAACAGCAGGCTGGGGTGTGTAGCACATGAGAAGTCTGCTGTGGAGAAAATCAAAAATCTTTCTAGCATGTGAGGCCTGCTGGGATCAGTTGATCACTGGACTGAGATTAACCTCAGACAGAATTTTTGAAACTCTGGGTCATGCATCGGTTATTCTGTCTTTGAAATATACTGAGCACACTATTTTCCACAGTTTCCTGATTTTGCTTAAAATTTGGGAATTGCACTGTCTTTTTCCCCCATGTAATGGCTTTGGTAGTTCTTAATTCACAACATGATGCCCTTTTCTTTGTTAAAAAGACCTTTCAGATGTGTTTTAATTCAAATACCTAATAGTTCCTTATTTATTGTGTCACTATCAATCAGAGCAACCCTGTTACTGAGTACAAGTCTGTACAGATCTCTGCTGATCTGGCACTATGTTCTTTTGTTAGTTTATATTCCCTCTATATTAATTGAGAGGAAGAATTATAGTTGGTTGACATGGGCTCAATGTAGCTGCCTATTTAGCTATAATTAAGGCTTTGAATGTAATCTGGGAAGTGTCCTGTGCTAATGAGCCAGGCTAATTGTCCCACAGAGAATTGTTTAAAACCTTATGGAAAAGACTATATTCTTTGGATGGAAAAAGCGATGTTCATTAATCAACAATGAGTTACTCCGTTCCGTGCACATGTTATATTGTATGTCTAGGCTTCTTGGGTACAGTTATAAGACTTTAAGGACACAAAAATACATCTTGGCAAAAGCTCAGATGAGCTTGCTGTGAAAGTGGCAATGTGGGAGTTTAGGAGTCATTATGTAATTGCTATGTCTCGGAGAAGTAAGTGTAAAGAGAGAGAGAGAGACAGGGTGAGGACACAGCAACCTCTGTGAGTGACAGTCAAAAAGACATAAAGTGGGGCTGCCAGCACTCTGTGATCCTGCAATAACTCTAAAGTGCAATCAGTGCAGCGGTATTCAACTACTGTCGCATTGCAGGTATGAATAAGGAGGACAAGTCCTCTTTCAGTGCTTGTGCAGAACTGTTGCTTTCACCATCACATTGCCTTCAAAGGGCATTAAAGGCCATATCTTTTATCTAAAAAACAAAAAAACAAAGCCCTGTTAAAATTTATTGTAAAAGTTGCAACCATTAAAACCCTTGATAATGTGATTATATGACTTAAGCTTCTCTGAGGATGAAAAATTCCATGTGTCTTACTCTTCAAACCACTGAAATCTGATTAGCACTTTACACAGACTCCGGTGGAATGAAGGATAGAATACATGGATGGTTTCACAAGTGAAGTGAGCACGCTGAAGCCTCCCTTCAGGTGGTGAATCACTGGGGACGTTGACACCGATTTCAGTGATGTCATTCTTTCTGTTTCTGTCAGGGAAGAAGAGGTTGATTAATTAAAGAGAACAAATACATGAAAGACAGGTTCCATTGGAGTGTATGCTCAAGTTTCCTTCTGTACAGGTTGTGTGAAGGGCGTGCCAGGCGAGGCCTCTCCCTGCACAAGTAAGGACCTGTTTTCGATGTTTTCCATCCTTTTGCAGTCTTTTCAGCTTGATGAATGCAGGGTGCTGATTAACACGTACAGTCCAAACCCACACAATTGTAACCATCTATTACAGCATCTCACAGCCTTCAGCTCAAGCATTTACTCCTAACATTTAATTATTCACTTTACAAAAAAACCTGCCTGTCTATGCACACTTTTCAGTCTGAAGTCTCATTTCACCTGTATGACAAGGCAATGCACTTGCCACCTAGAAAACACAACAAGGCACAACTAATTGATATTTACCCCCCCCCCCCCCCCAAAAAAAAAAGAATTAAAAAAATCTACAAATGCTAACTCTTCTCTTTCCTTGTGTGTAGTTAGGCAAGGTATACGACACAAACCTGTCCAAAGCCACAAACGAAAAAGCTGTCAAGTTTTCCGGGGTGGTGGATTTAAATGAAACCAAAGTGTTGCATTAAGTCACGCCAGGTGATCCTCTTCTGCTGTGCCTGATTTCAGTCTGTTTACCTGCACCAGGTACAGGCATATTTGTCCCTGTGTCCACCAATGGAAAAGCAGCAAGAGGGTTAAACCTCCCCCTTTTCTGCCTTGAAGCAAGTCCACACCCCAAAAACAGCTTCTTCTTTTTTTTCCCCTTTTCTTTTACCCGGGAACTAAATGTTAAACCAGAACTGTCCCCTCCCCCACAGAAACGTTTATGAATTACACAAACATCCAAATGTTAATCATAGAAACCACTATGTGCAAAAAGTGGCAAAAAGCACAAATGTATAACAACCTCCTAATATTAATAGTTTGATAATGATGATCATAAATGAAGTTCATTTGAGAGCACCATCAACCTGCCAACCTCTTTATTAAATCCTGTAACCTTACATGTTATTTTGTGGATTAAAATACATCTTAGTTGGTAATCCCATGAAAATCTTTCTCCGAATATAGCAACTGGGGCTTATTACTCTAATGAAAAAGTATCAGTAATAAAATAATCCTTAAAAAGTTATGCTTAAAAAACCTAAATTTTGAAGAAATGACAGACGTAACAAGCTCTTTTCAAGCTTGCTGATGTTGTCTTTGCCTTTCCTTCAAAAGCACATTTTTTCAGCTGTCTTGTTTAGAGAATCTGAGTGAAGCTACTGATGGAGAATGCCTAAACTCATTTGGTATTTTTTAAAAATGCAGGGGTGATGGTTTAAAAAAAACAAAAAAGCCATCTCGGAAGTAGCTTTAATTCAGTGCAGTGTTCACCTGGGGTTCACCTGGGTTCGAATCGCTGAATTATACCTTACCTCAGAATAGCTGACAGGAGGTGACCCGAGTTTAACACAATCTTTATTAATTTTTTTTTACAATCTTAAGTTACAGAGCTAGATGTGTGTGACCCATTTCTTTGCATCCACCCAGTTTAACTGATTCTTTGAGACAGAGCGCACACACCGTCATGTTTCGACTTGTCTGGAATGCTGCATTGCACCTAAGCAAGGAAGTCAAAAGAAGAACATTTAGACAGCTGAGGTAAAAGTTAGCCCTGTTCAGTCTCAGCAAAACTTTTTCATTTTATACTCTTTAACTCCCCTTTTTGTTGCAGAGACTGAAATATGAAATACACGGTTAATATAAACACAAACATGGAGATTGTGCAGTTTCAAAGTTTAAAGTTCTGGCAGTTCTGATTTTATTTACACTGTAGCAGAAACATGTTAGTGAGGGAATAGTTTGCAAATGGAAATTAGGCTTATTTTTTATTTATTTTTTGAGGGTTGGATAAGCAGATTGATGTCATTCTGGTGTTTCGGCACTAACTATACAGCTCCAGGCACGAGCAGGATATATGGAGAAACACTGAGCCGGCTCATTCTAACCAAAGACAGCAAATAGCACCTTTAAAGCTCACTAATTAAAATGCTATACTTTTGTGTTTGAGCTGCACAAAAGAGCAGTGTAAAAATAAAATAAAGCAAAACAGAAATAAAGGCTTGTTGGTTTGGACAGTATCGGGTGGACTGTTATTCTGTTTCTGGACTGTGCTAATCAATACTCTCTCTCTGCTGGCATTAATAATATTCATGCAAGTCTGAGTAGAGTTAAAAGAAATAGTACACCAAGTCTCTTTTAATTTAGTATTCAGTAGTCTGCTCAAAATAAACAATGTGAAGACAAGAGCTGAATCTGTATGACTGACCAAATTGGCATAATAAATGAAACTACTAGAATACCACAGTACTTAAAGTATAATCTATGACACGGTAAATAGAATTTGAAGGGTATTTATGTAGAGCCCATACTAACCGCTCACCATTCACAGAGACATTCATACAGCACTTTATTATATGCATTTCAAACACCCCACTTCAATGCCTAAGGCCAGTTCAGAGTCACCAGTTACCCATATGTGTATGCCCTTTGAGCGTGTCAGGAAACAGGCACATGGGGAACGTGCAACCTCCACAGAGAAAAGCTTCAGGTTCAGTCCAGTGTGGAAGATTGGGTGGGGTTTGGTTCACTAGCCTGGGGGCAGTAGCCTGCTGCAACTCCACCATGCTCAGGTAAAAAATGCACCACTGTACTGATACATGAAATAAACATTTAGGATGCCTTGCTCCTTATCTAACAGTGTCTCTTACCGTAAGGAAAAGGAGAAATATAGTGTAATAGAGTGTTTTTATTTCAGCTTCTGAACAATAACAGAATATTAATGATCTTTTTCCAGAAAGATAGAGCCGCTGGATTGGCTGAAATGAAAGCTGAAACCTGTTCTGACACGAACTGAAGTTCCAGCGTAGGCTATGTAAGAATTCTCTCAATACGTATGTGGCTCATAATTTATTACTCATGGGTGAATTAGTTTTTGTTTTATCTTCATACAGGTAGTCTCACGGAGATCAAGATATCTTTTTAAAGTAAGAGAGAGAAATAAATGTATATCAGGCAGGAACAGGCTTCATTGGCATGTCAGTTTGCAAAGATTTATCCTTTGATGAGCCAATCCCGTGTCCCTGAAGCACACTGATTCATGCTGAATGCTGTGTGAAAGCATAAGCCCAGCGCCCAGATTTTAATCTCTTTAAATGACTGCGGTTAAAAGGCAGCTAACACAGTAGGGGTTCAAAACTGGGGGCTTGAAAGTTGAATTAAACTCCAGGAAAATAGTATATCTGTATCTGCAAACTACTTGCTAAATACACTATTTTGTTATTTTGATTAAAATGCCTGAATATTGAAGCTAACGTAACATAGACAAGTCTACTTAATTAAAAAACAAACACGCAAATAAACAAAAAATAAAGGAAAACCCTGTGACATGCAGGATCTTACGCAACTTGAAAAACTGACATCAGATACATACACCACTAACTAACCAAAACATCTTAAATATAGTCTAATAAGGCATCTAAAAATTAATTGGCTTACATGTTGACTTTGAATTGTTTAGTACTGTGAAAAACCTGAGGCACTTTGCATAATTAGACTTATGTATTTACGTGTGGCATATATAATGGCCTCAAATTCATTGTGTAGCAAGATAACAACTCGCAATCATAAACATAGAGGTGGTCATGTCATGGCTTGCATGTATGAACATTTCAGGAACAGGCTTTCTTGCCTTTTATGACATTGCAATAGATCTAAGCAGCAGCAGAATAGAATCCAGAGTGTGCGCATTTTTTAAACCACTGTATGTACAAAGTAGCTCCACCAATCTCATTGCTTACCTTCATCCAACAACATAAGAATGACCCCAAATACACTGCCTGTACAACCAAAGCTTTTAACTGAGAAGGTGTCAGACCTGCCAAGTCAGGCACTAGTTTTAAACTCTGTTCATTTTACCAGCTTAAAAAAAAGACTGAGACCCAGATTCTGTGTGTGACCTTAGCTGTGCATGTAAGTGACAACATTAATGAACTCTCTACTCATTTTTGAAATGTATTTTATTAAGATAAATGAAAGCCAAATGTCCCCTGTCAAAGCTGGTTGCCTGTCCAGTCCATATGGTGTTATGGATAACTTTGATGTAACCATAAACCTTTTAGAGCTTTACAATCTGCCATAGTATTTTTAAAACACACAAAAACAGATCCAATATTGATCATTATTCCATTTTTCCACGCTGAAGACAGCTAATGCTGTCACTACCATTATCACTAGTGCCCATGCAATGAAAATGCAGTTGAGTACTGTGTGTCTCTTTTTAAAATTTGAATTGATGGATGTACAATATGAATCAAGTTACTAATATTTTGGAAGAAAACATGCTTCTTATTTGCTTTCTTTCCCAGAGTTAAATTAGACTTTAAAACTATATCTCTGTGGTAATTAACGGTGGGTAAATATTCTGTCACCCGTGAACGTGTTATATCTTGCTTATTTAATCTGTGCCAATCCAATCCAAAGTGTGAAAACCACAGGTTGTGGTTTTAAAGGGATTATATGCTGTATTTCTTGGATGAATACAGCATACACTTCAGTTTTGATTTATATTATACAAATGAAAAATAATGTGTTAATTCGGGGTGCTGACATGTGAATTTTCTTACCGCTAGACAAGAGACTAACTTTCGCCTTTATTTCCACTCTTTGTGCTTCTACAAGCTAATTAGCCGGTAGTACTGAACAGCTGGGTTAGCAGTGACAAAAGGGATGCTTTCCTTAGATGGTAAAGTGTTCCTTTCAAATGTTACACTGTAGTAGACGTTAGGATTTTGCCCTTATCTTTCTCATCTTTCCCACTAAATGCCAGAAAGGTGGAATTTTCCACAAGCCACTACCCTGAGTTTGCTGTGGAATGCAGACAAGATGGAGCAAGCCTGCAGAGAACGACATCTCAGCAGTAACAGTATGTTGAGGTACTTAGCTTGTGCACATCATGCCCACCTCCTTAATTCTCCCTTCAGGGGGTTTTGTTGAGCTATTACTCAAATTGTAGCGGTGTTCTGTAGTTGCTACTGTTGCTGTGAGGTTCCTGCAGAGGGCCACCTTAGAGTCACTCATTTCCGCAGTCTGAATTCTATGACTCATTCTGGTTGAATATTGTTGTTTATTTTACGTTGCTAGTTTTATGCAGTAAACCTCAATCCATCTTTCAATATGTTTGTTCATCTGAGTAGATTTCACAAAGGCCCTAAAAGAAGGAGGATGTTCTAACTCAACTCTAAATTCAAAGCTGTACGAGACATTTACGACTGCTCTTTTAAACAGCCTTAGATTGCTATCGGTGCCTTAGAGCAACAGACCTTGTAAAGTTGCACAATGTGGGGCATGTGCTGACATAACAGCCACACGTATCTCATC